AACTAACATCTTTTAATTCTATAGGGCCTCTGCTTTCAGAAAATATATAATTATTTGGGGGTTTAAGGTAACTAATATATGTGTGGAAAATAAAAAACAATTGCCCTGGTAGACAAGTGATTAAAGTGGATTTTCACCATCTCCCATACTTAATTCTTCAAAAGCCCTGCTTATGTGGTGGTGTGTTCAGCATATTTCAGATATTCACCCACCCAGCAGATCCAGCATTGTCCAGCTGAGATCCTTTTCTCTTTTGGAAGCATTCTGTGTTTTGCTGTGACGTCAAGGTGTTTCGCAGGCCATGTTTTGCTGTGACGTCCCAATGACGCATCGATAGGCCCGTTTGCTCCTCTTTTCCTGAATGACTATGGGCTATGGCAGCAATGGGCAAACTACGCCCCGCGGGCCGTATACAGCCCGGCGGACCTTTTAATCTGGCCCGCAGAGCTAGGCTCCTCTCACAGTCCGCCCTGAAGACCGGTGTAGCATGAAAATCTGTCTCCTATGAGGATCTGTCCCCCTCGACGTATCTGCGCATGTGCCGGAGATCGCCGATCGGCTGCTAATGCCTGAAACTGGCACATGCGCAGATACGTCGAGGGGGACAGATGCTCATAGGAGACAGATTTTCATGCTACACCGGAACTGCGCGCGGGAACACGGCGAGAGGAACGCGCGGAGCAAAGGTAAGTGAATTGACACAGGGGGGACTTGGGGACTTAATATGGGGGGGATGAATTACTATAGGGGGGATGAATTACTATATGGGGGATGAATTACTATGGGGGATGAATTACTATGGGGGATGAATTACTATATGGGGGACTTGGGGACTTAATATGGGGAATGAATTACTATATGGGGGATGAATTACTATGGGGGATGAATTACTATGGGGGATGAATTACTATATGGGGGATGAATTACTATATGGGGGATGAATTACTATGGGGGATGAATTACTATATGGGGGATGAATTACTATGGGGGATGAATTACTATAGGGGATGAATTACTATGGGGGATGAATTAATATGGGGGATGAATTACTATATGGGGGGATGAATTACTATAGGGGGATGAATTACTATATGGGGGATGAATTACTATGGGGATGAATTACTATATGGGGGATGAATTACTATATGGGGGATGAATTACTATATGGGGATGAATTACTATATGGGGATGAATTACTATATGGGGATGAATTACTATATGGGGGATGAATTACTATATGGGGGATGAATTACTATATGGGGGATGAATTACTATATGGGGGATGAATTACTATGGGGGATGAATTACTATATGGGGGATGAATTACTATGGGGGATGAATTACTATGGGGGATTAATTACTATGGGGGATTAATTACTATGCTTACTATGGGGGAATATTACTATACTTACTATGGATGACACATACACATCATTCATCTACTCTTGGTCCGGCCCCCGGGTCCAATATATGAACCCATTGCGGCCCTCAAGTCAAAAAGTTTGCCCACCCCTGGGCTATGGGGTGGATTTGCTAAAGGCAAATAGAGTGTGCACTTTGCAAAGTGCTGTTGCTCCAGAGCTTAGTAAATGAGGTAAAGCTTCACTTTGCAAAGAAAACCCAGTCACATGCAAGGAAATTGAAAAAAAAAAAAAAACAGCATTTTTGCTCGCACATGATTGGATGATAGAAGTCTGCAGAGCTTCTGCTCATTTACTAAGCTCTGAAGCAACTGCTCTTGCAGAGTGCAACTGCAGTTTGCAAAGTGCACAGTCTATTCACCTTTAGTAAATTAATTTGCATATCCCTGGAGGCAATGGGAGCACAGCAGATGGCAAGGCTGGCAGGGCTGGACAATTTTGTAAAAAAAAAGTAAATAAAAGTAATACAAAATATATCTATTCATGTAGAGGACCAGAGGAGGGGTGGAGCAGAGGGATAAAGTTTTGGAGGTTGAAGATCTATTTTAAGGTTAGAGTAGGTTTAACTCTTATTTAAAGCGGAGTTCCAGTCGCACTGGGAAAAAATAAGACAGCAGCTACAAAAAACTGTAGCTGCTGACTTTTAAAAAAGCCACTCACCTGCCCCACGATCCCACAGTATCGTCTCCGTAGCCCATTTCACCAGCCGCCTGGTGTTCCAGGCGCTGACATCTTCAGTGTGGGCACCTGGCTGCGACAGCTTGCGGCTTCACAGCTGGGTGCCCACTGCACATGTGCGAGTAGCGCTGAGCTTCATGAATGGTCTCACAGTCTTCTGGGACCTGTCATATGTACCAGACTGCAGGGAGGGACGGGGGGGGACAACTTCCACTTCCGATCACCTAGGCGATCGCAGTGGAAGTGGGAGCGGGTACCTGTCAATTTTGGATACCCGCTCCCCAAAGGTGCCAGTCCTTAATGGGGAGCGGGGGTCCAGTCTTTAAAGAAGAACTTCCCCTTTTGGGTGGAGCTCCACTTTAACTACTTCCCCACCGCCCTATAACAGAAATACTGCTACAGGGTGGCAGGGGTGCGCAAAATCAAGTATATATGTGATTTTGCAGTTCCGGGAAGGTGGCGCACACAAGCCGCGCACACACCCTATCTGCGCTGTCATTGAGGCCTCGGCTGTCAATAACCGGGTCCTGGCCGGTGATTACTTGTCGGCACCCAGTGATCACCGAGTATCTCCGACGGGGAAAAGACCTGTATGTAAACATACAGATCTCCCCCCTGTCGGCTCCTGCACACTGCTTTGTATGGTTTTGTATAGCAGAGCCAGACAAAGCAGTGTGCTTACAGTGAAGCACACACACAGCCCAAGTAGTGAAACAGCACACAGTTAACCCTTTGATTGCCCCAGATATTAACCCCTTCTTGTCTAGTGCCATTAGTACAGTGTCAGTGCTTTTTATTAGCACTGATCACCGTATTGGTGTTACTGGGGATGTCAGTGACACCAAATCAGTTCCCCCCTGTGTCAGAATGCCCACCACAGTTCTGCAGTCCCGCTTGAAGTCGCTGATCGCCGCCATTACTAGTAAAAAAAAAAAAATTCCAGTATCTATACTGCCATTTGTAAACGCTATAACTTTCATGTAAAACAAATTAATTTACATATATTGGGATTCTTTTTAACAGACATGTAGCAGAATACATCTTGTCCTAAATTTATGACGAAATTTGAATTTTACATTTTTTTTACTGGATAGGTTTTATAGCAAAAAAGTCAAAAATATTGTTTTTTTTCTCAAAATTGTCAGCTTTTGTTTCTTTTTATAGCACAAAAAATAAAAATGCACAGGTTATCAAATACCACCAAAAGAAAGTTCTATTTGTGGGAAAAAAGGACGTAAATTTCATTTTGGTGCAGCATTGCATGACCGTGCAATTGTCAGTTAAAGTAACACAGCGATGTAGCGCAAACAATGGTCTGGTCAGGAAGGGGATAAATCCTCTGGAGGGCATAGTGGTTAGAATATGTCCTTGTTTTCATGTATGTCTGCTAAAATGCATCTGCAGCAAACCGTGAGACCTTCATTTCCCCTATGACCTTTCCTTATTTCTCTCTGTCTGCTACTCTTTGTTATTTACAAGTGAGTGCTCAGTTTTCTGCTTTCCTCTCCCTCCTTCTATTTCTAGTCTTTCTCTCTAGCCAGTTAACTTTTACCCCCTCCCATCCCTCTTCCAGTTTCTTCCTGAGCTTGAAAACAAACTGTCTGGCCTGGCAGAACACCCTGATCCGCATGACATTGTATACGAACATGACTGATTTCCAAGTATTGGTGTAAGGAAGGCGCATACTGTATCTGCACCGAATGAGCTGGTGATGTAGTGCAGCCTGTAGCAAAATCTATTTGTGTTTTTATATACTAAGAAAAAAAAAAGTTGTACATCAGCATATTACAAGGCAGTATGATGAAATAATCAGAAGATACATACTTGAAGCTTTTGTTACTACAATAAATCAGATGTTGTTGAGTTACCATACTCTTCTGATGAAGCTGTTTTCAGCCAGATTGGGAAATCAGCCCTCAGCCAGTCAGTCTCAGAAAAAATAGCCATGGGCCATGTTGGATATTTTTTGAATGGTCTACATTTACCCATCTTTTCTATTAAGATAAACAAGTACGTTTGGGTGCTCCAAGTATGCATGAATATGTCACAGTTTATTTAAAAGTAAAAATGTTTTAACAAAACTCCAATGGGTTATTCATGCTTGCTCTTCCAATAGCCTTTTAATGTCGTTGTCAACACTAGGTCCCTTTGTGCCAGAATGAAGTAATGCAGAAGGTGATTTCCAAAAAAGAAAAAGCACTTATTTTATTTATTGTGTTGCTTAAAGTGGAAGTAAACTCCTTTTGTATACTTTTACCTACAGGTAAGCTTATAATAAAGGTTATCTGAAAATGTGCTCCTTTTGACAGCTGGCGTATGCACTCTGAAGGAGCAGCGTATCCGTGCCGTTCCTTCAGAGTATTGTGACATCATCATGGCTCAGCCAATCAGACGGCCGTAGCTCGCGAACCCAGAAGGAAGACCGTGTGAAGATGTCTTCATTTTAACCCCTTGACGCTGAGCGCACGCAAATATGCAGCCTCTCTGCGTCTGGGCCTTGACGCCGAGCGGCCACACATATTTGCATGCAGTTAGAAAATACATATGTGCTGAGAGAGCGTGCCCTGCGCGCTCCCAGCACATGTGTCCCTGACTCACGGAAAGGTCCCGAACTCCCCTTTGGATCGGGACCTTTTCCAATCATGTGAACGCCATGACGGCAAACAACGGCGGTCACGTGACTCTAAAATCCCACCTACCTCCTGGCTTCTGAAACTCTTAAAGGGCCAGGAGGCACCAGCACAAAGTGGTTAAAGTGCGGTTTACTACTGCTTTAAAGGATAAGCACACCTTTCACAACATGTTACACCCATATTCAGGGTGTAACATGTTTTAAAACCTTAAAGCGGAGCTCCACCCAAAAGGGGAAGTTCCGCTTTAATGCTTTGTTCCCACTCCCCATTAACCACTTCCCGTCCGGCCCATGTACATAAAAATGCGGGCGCCGTTTATGAATGGCAACCCGCTCCTGCACTTCTCCCGTCCGGGCCGTTTATGTACATGGGCCGGACGGGAGAAGTGCAGGAGCGGGTTGCCATTCATAAAGGGCGCCCGCATTTTCAGGCTGTGTGCTCTCCCTGGGAGCGTGCAGGCTGTGAACACCGATCGCAGTACGGGACCTCTGTGTGAGGTCCCGATCAAGTGATCACTGATTGGCCAGTCAGTGATCACATGGAATAGTAGTAAGCAAGATGTCACTTCTGACATCATTGCTTACTACTAGTGAAATCTGTGAATGATCAGAGGTCACATGGTACAAGGCTATTCACAACAGCCTTGTACCATGTGACAAGCTGTGAACAATCACAGCTCTCACAGTGTTTCTCAATGGCTGCAAGAATGCAGCCAGAGAGAAGGAAAAATGATTGCTTTTACAGCCTTTATGGGTCATCACCCCCCACAAGTAGTACAGTGTCACTATGGTGACACTGTACTGCTAGGGTATTATATTAAAAAAAAAATGAAAAAAATAATAATATAAAAAAAATAAATAAAAATATTAAAAAAAAAATTTAAAATTATAATTTTATAATAAAATAATTTGGGTTATTTTTTTTTTTTTTTTTACTAAAAAGATAACCGAATACATTTTGGCCAAGATTTATGAAGAAAGATTATTTATTTGCAAAATTTTATAAGAAAAACACATTTTTCACAATTTTTTTATTTTTTCATTTATATAGCAAAAAAAAAATAAAAATGCCAGTGGTGAATAAATACCACCAAAATAAAGTTTTATCTGTCTCAAAAAAATGCTAAAAAATTCATATGGGTACAGTGTTGCATGACTGCGCAATTGTCATTCAAAGTGTGATAGCACTGAAAGCTGAAAATTGGCCTGGACAGGAAGGGGGTAAAAGTGTCAGGACTTGAAGTGGTTAAGGATTGGCACCTTTTGGGAGTGGGTACCCAAAATTGACAGGTACCCGCTCCCACTTCCGCTACGATCGCCTAGGCGATCAAAAGAATAAGTTGTCCGAGGGAGGACAACTTATTCTTTTGATCGCCTAGGCGATCCTCGTAGTCTTGTGGTGACAGGTCCCAGAAGACTACGGGGCCATTCACAAAGCGCATCGGGCACCCAGCTGTGAAGCTGCAAGCTGTCACAGCCGAGTGTCCATACTAAAGATGCCGGCGCCAGGGAGAGAAGACGGCCAGTGAAACCAGCAGTGGTGAAGACACCGCTGGACTGAGGGACAGGTAAGTGTCTGTATTTTAAAAGTCAGCAGCTACACTTTTTGTAGCTGCTGAAATTATTTTTTTTTTATCAGCTGAAACTCCGCGTTAAGGTCATCACAGAGGACAAGAGGGCACTCTTTATGTCTGGAGGAAAAGAGATTTAATTTCCAAATACAGAAAGGTTTCTTCACAGTAAGAGCTGTGAAAATGTGGAATAGACTTCCTCAAGAGCTGGTTCTGGCCAGCTCAGTAGATTTAAAAAGTCCTGGATTCTTTCCTAGATACACATAATATAACTGGATACTAACATTTAAAGGTAACGTTGATGCAGGGAATATCCGAATTCCTTTTGGGTGATCAGGAAGGAATTTTTTCCACTGCAGGAGCAAATTGGACAATGCTTTGCTGGAGTTGTTTGCCTTCCTCTGGATCAACTGTGGATATACGATATACATTTTTTTCCCTTTTATGGCTGAACTAGATGGACTAGGTGGTCTTTTTTCAGCCAGATGTAGCTAGGAAACAAAAGTACTGGTTGATGCCCCCATCCCCCCATTGATCCTGCATTGTGATGGCTAGTGGGGGATCTTCTCCCTCTGCTAGCTGACACAGTTTTTAAAGAAACATGGCCATGCTGGGCTCCGCCTGCCCTGCCGCATCACTTATTGTTAGTATATTGTGTGTGGGAAGACTGTAAGTTCCAACAGCCTTTGCAGCTGTCGGCTTGTAGTTCTCATTGATCAAAGCACTGTTGAGCACTATGGAGCTTGCCTGTACGAAGTAGGAGCACACAGATACAATGACAGGTCAGGGGGAGACCTGCATGACACCAACGATCTGCTGATCTCTGGTGCAATGCTTTCCAGGCTCCCAAAACAAAAAATAGTAAATGTACATTTTTCTACCTGCAAAAAATGTGCATTTATTATTTTTTGATATAAAGTGAACTTATCCTTTAGCTATATAGTTACTGCAAAAGACATGAATGTGCTTGTTTTATGAAACAATATCAGGGCTATTGCACAAGAGCTTTTGAGATCAGTTAAAGTATACATTTTGACCTAAGCGTCATGTTGTCAAGGATTTTTTCATGCATTTTTTTTTTCAAGCACATTTAAGAATTGCACATCTTTGTAGCTTTTCTCAAGCGTTTTTCAACTAGGCATTTGAACTGCTGAAAAGGGGCAGAGGGCTACTGTTTGAGCAGAAAATGCATAATGAAATGCTTGAAAAAAAATGCATGAAAACACTCTTGTTGCTCTTTTCAGGTGTTTCCATTGAAATCTATGTGGACAAAAACGTTCAATTCTGCCTGAAAAGCAGCTCATGTACTTTCTTGAGCGACAGGTGTTTTACTACAAGCCACAAAACGCTCAGATGTGAACAAAGGCTATCGAAAACAATAGGTTTTTGCTTGTTGAGCGTTATTGAGCTTCGAGTTACAAGCTGCTAAATGCTCAAGTGGGAATGGGGCCTAAAGGGAAAGCTGCTTTGGACAGAGTGGATAGATTTGAATATCTCTCAGGTTTTTATAGCTGCCTCTGCCCCCTTTAGGGAGATTCACCCTCTCTATTTGTCCTGTTTACTATTATCACCAAGGCTAAAAATGAAAGAAGATCACAAATTTTGGGTTATCAGCAGAACAGAAATAGAAGGGAAATCTTCCCATGGGGACACTAGTTTTGGTGACTTTGGTGACAACTAGCAATTCCCTCACATTAAATGGATTTTCTGTCATTTCCTGATTTAGCTATTGGACAGGACGTGAGGAGAAATCTCCTCAATAAGACATAGATGGCAAAAAAAACAACAGGGGTTATAGCCCTCCCTTACTCTATCCAAAATTAAGTTTTGCCTTTTGTTCTACTTTAAGCTCATTTTGATACTATTATGTACTTTGTTCTGTTTCTCTATACATGTCACATGATAAATGAACCTTATGAGCACACATTATGGAGTTCAAATTTAAAAGAAAATCCATTTTGATAACGGGTGAAAGGGTTGAGGTCAGGTGAGTGCTATAGGATGTGCTGTGTTAGCGAAGAGTAATGGCAAGGCTTTTCAAATTCATTTTGCTACCTGAGAGTAATCTCCAACTATGCATTGTCTACTCTGTAATACACTGCTCAGAAAATTATAAGAACACTTTGAAAACGCATCAGATCTCAATGGGGAAAAATGTCATGCTGGATATCTATACTGATATGGACTGGGTGATGTGTTTGGAACATAAGGATGCCCCATCGTTTGATGGAAATGAAAATGATCAACCTACAGAGGACTGAATTCAAAGACATCCCGAAAATCAAAGTGAAAAAATGATGCAGCAGGCTAGTCCATTTTGCTGAAATTTCATTGCAGCAACTCAAAATGTTACTCAGTAGTTTGTATGGCCCCCTGGTGCCTGTATGCATGTCTGACAATGTCAGGGCATGCTCCTAATGAGACTATGGATGGTGTCCTGGGGTATTTCCTCCCAGATTTGGACCAGGAAATCACTGAATTCCTGGACAGTCTGAGGTGCAACCTGGCGGCGGCGTCGGATGGAATGAAACATGATATCCCAGAGGTGTTCTATTGGATTTAAGTCAGGCGACCATGGGGGCCATTCAATGGTATCAAGTCCTTCATCCTCCAGGAACTGCCTGCATACTCTCGCCACATGAGGCTGGGCATTGTCGTGCACCAGGAGGAACCCAGGACCCACTGCACCAGCATAGGGTCTAACAATGGGTTCAAGGATTTCATCCCGATACCTAATGGCAGTCAGGATGCCATTGTCTAGCCTGTAGAGATCTGTGTGTCCCTCCATGGATATGCTTCTCCAGACCATCACTGACTCACCACCAAAATGGTCATGCTGAACGATGTTACAGCATAACGTTCTCCACGGCTTCTCCAGACCGTTTCATGTCTATCACATGCTCAGGGTGAACCTGCTCTCATCTGTGAAAAGCACAGGGTGCCAGTGGCAGACCTTCCAATTCTGGTGTTCAATGGCAAATGCGAATCGAGCTCTATGGTGCCGAGCAGTGAGCACAGGGTCCACTAGAGTTCGTCGGGCCCTCAGGCCACTCTCATGAAGTCTGTTTGTGATTGTTTGGTCAGAGACATTCACACCAGTGGCCTGCTGGAGGTCATTTTGTAGGGCTCTGGCAGTGCTCATCCTGTTCCTCCTTGCACAAAGCAGCAGATACCTGTTCCGCTGATGGGTTTAGGACCTTCTACGGCCCTGTCCAGCTCTCCTAGAGTAACTGCCTGTCTCCTGGAATCTCTTCCATGCTCTTGAGACTGAGCTGGGAGACAGCAGCAAACCTTCTGTCAATGGCACATATTGATGTGCCATCCTGGTGGAGTTGGACTACCCGTGCAACCTTTGTAGGGTCCAAGTATTGCCTCATGCTACGAGTAGTGACACTGACCCTAGCCAAATGCAAAACTAGTGAAAAACAGTCAGAAACAATGAGTAGAGAAAAAATGTCAATGGCTTCCACCTGTAAAACCATTCCTGTTTTGGGGGTCATCTCATTGTTGCCCATCTAGTGCACCTGTTGTTAATTTCATTAACACGAAAGTAGCTTAAACTGATTAACAACCCCCTTTGCTACTTAACTGACCAGATCAATATCCCTGGACTTTAACTGACTTGATGCCAGTCTCTGATGCCAGTCTCTGATTTTTGAGAAGTGTTTAATTTTGTGGTTGGTGAGAAAGTAGAATTTATCCTGTTTAACTCCATGGCACCGAGCATGTGCAAATATGCGGCCTCTCGGTGACTGGACCTTGGCGCTGAGGGGCCGCATATTTGCATACCCACTGTAAACTAAACATGTGCGGAGAGCACACACCCTGTGTGCTCCTGGCGCATTTACTGGCGCCTCATGGAAAGGTCCCGATCGCTGCTTGTGGTCGGGAGCTTTCTGATCATGTGACCTCTGTGACAGCCAATCACGGCGGTCACATGACCCTAAACCCTGGCATCACAAACTACTTAAAAGGCCAGGGGTGCCGGGGCCAAGGAGTTAACATGTATACCTGTAAATAGTAAACAGCATTGGTCAGGTTTGTTACCAAAGAGTACTGCCATGTTACCCGAGAATGTTGATATACCACAAAGAATGTTGAAGTTCCTTTCTCACT